CCGGGCGGCCTTGGCGGGCCAGCGCCTGGCGCCTCCTCCGTCCCCCGAGACGGCACCCCAGGTGTTGAGGGTCTGAGGCTGGCGTGCGGCGGGAGAGAAACACGCAGCTCCCGGCTCTCCCTCCACAGCCTCTCGAGGCCTGCGTGTCCCCTGATGGCGCGTGGCTTTGGCGTCCCCCTTCCACAGGGCCGCCCCTGACGCCCATGTTCGGGCTCAGCTGGGTGGGAGGCACCCGCTAGGCCTTTTGAAGGAAAATCGGCCCCAGTTCTCCCAAGACAGGGCTCGGCCTTACGCGCCGCGTGGGACAGGAAAGTGTGGTCTCCAGGTGAGAAGAGGGAACCGCGTCCCACGTCTCGCCGTCGCCACGATAAGACAGCGTAGGTGGGGCAGCGGGTCCGAGGGCCCACGGCTGGCACCGGAGCCGCGGGGCGAGGCGCGCTCGGCGCGTGCAAGGTACCCGCCTCAAACACAAAGCCTGTGCGCGGGCAAGTCCCGCGTCCTGTGTGCGTCGTCAGGCGCCAGGCAGGCATCCCAGGTGGGCGTAATCCCACGTCTCCTTGCACACCTCGCAGGGCGCGTCGTGCAGCCGCGCAGTCAAGCTCAGCCCAGAGAGAAAGGCCCCTGGCTAAAGTGCCGGGTTACACTTCCCGCGGGCGCGCCGACCTCTTCCGCGCGGGCCGCAGAAGCGCCGTGCAGCCTCCCCGGCGTTGGGAGTTGCAGGCCCGCTCCTCGTCCCCCAGCTCCTGGCCGGCCCCCTGCGCCAGCGTCCGGAAGGCGCCCCGGGTGTGAGCCTCTGATGCGAAGGCGCCTGGCTCGCGGGATGCGCTTCTTCCCACTACTTTGGGTATTGTCTGGCGGGAGAGGGTTGTGGTGTGGCCACGCCTGGTGCCCTCCGGTGCCCCTCGCCTATGCCTGTGAGGCGTCCCTGGCGGGCAGACCTTCTGCTAGGTAGCTCAGCTGGAGTCCTCAGGCTTCTGGGTGGTTAATGAGCCAGACAGCCCTGGCCCAGGGATGCCCGGCACTGGGTGCAGAAGAGGCAGTGGTGGTGATGCAGGATTGTACACAAGCCCCCAATGCATCACGTCCTCTTTCCCCTGCAGGGGAGAAGGGGACACCCAAGTGGCCCGACAGATTGAGTCTTAGCAGTGTGTTTGGGTCCAGGACTTGGAGGTGTATCTCAAGTCAGCATCTTCTGCACTGGCTCTCGGCCCACCCAGCGCCAGGCAGGCAGAAGAGTCCCAGGCCGCCCGAGCGGGGCCCAGGAGCCAAACGCTGGGTGCATACCCAAACTGACAATTCGGGGTCCCGAGACTACAGAGGCCCAGAACCCCATAGCTCTTGTAGCTCTCCAGCCTCTCCTACGCCCTCCCCCTGCCCCGAGACTGCCAGGGCTCCAGTCAGTGCCCACTGTCTCCACCCCAGCAAGCGCTGCTGAAGGTGGCTCAGCCGGCCTCTGCTGCCCCCTCCCGCCTGCCCCAGGCTCCAGCTGTGACTCCTGGAACTGCAGCAGAGAACCGGAGCTTGCAGGCAGGATGGCGACCAGCACTGAGCAGGCGCCCTGTGCGGCCCCTGGGCAGCCGTCCTCATCCCTTGGTGCGTCCAGAGGGTAGGCGACTGGTTCTGGGTGCGTTGGTCAGAGGTGGTCTTGGCACCCACATCCAGGACTTTGTGACCCCCAGCTGTGCTTTGCACCATCCTGCTAACCCCCTCCCTGTAAAGGAAGAGGGGAGGGCACAGGAACCACAGGGGCTGGACCTCCCGGCACCCTCAGGGCTGGCTCCATCGTCAGGCAGCTGGGAGGGGGCTCTGGGTGGGGTGAGGAGCCTGGCTCAGCAGCCACGGCTGAGACTGACGATGCCCCCCTTGCCAGTGCGTCTCAGGCCCCCTGTGGTGCCACACGCAACACACGTGGCTGGAGCCGTGCCCTGGAAGTGGGCTCCCTGCTGACCCTGGGTTGGGGTGAGGCCCTCTGTACCTCCCACAGCCGAGCCTGGGGCAGGGCCTGGGTGGGTGAGCAGCTGCCTGGCAGGGTGGGGCAGTAGAGAGGCCATGTCTGGGTGTGGCATGCTTCTGGTCACTCGTAGGGCCACAGAGGATCCGGAGTCATGCTTACCAGGCTTCATGTTCTAAGGATTGGCAGGAGAAAAGTGAAGTATTGTTTTTCGGACTAGGAGACAGGACAAAGCTACTGACTCAAGCACTCCAGGCTGCGCACCTGTCAGACCAGGAGGGTGATGCGAGCTGACACCTGCTTGTCAGTACAGACAGACAACCCAGTGTTCTTGTTCACCCACAGGTAGGGGATGGGGGCAGTGGGCACTGTGCTGGCAAAGCGGGGAGCAGAGAATCCCAGCCCCTTTCAGAACAGGTGCTGGAGGCTAGGCCATGTACCATCCAGCACTGGGATCAGCCAGCTCAGCAGACGCCTGGGGGAGAAGCCTTCTTCCAAGCCAGGGATGTGTCAGCCACAGGGTCCTTGCTGCCTGCCGCGCCCTGGCTCTCTGCTGCCTCCTGGGAGCGCGTGTGGTCCGCCCAGCAGGTCCATTTCCGCGGGACTCTCGGCTCCCTGCGGGGAGAGCTCTGCTGACACTCCCCAGAGCACCAGAGTGCGGCAGGGACTCATCCAGGACCAGCCGTGGCTGTTCCTCCGCGGGCACGCATCGCCACCTGCTGTCCGCATGACGCAGTGCGCGCTGGGTCCTAACTGGGAGGTTTCTCTCAGACCTGGGCCCGTGAGTGCTCCTGAGGCCTGCACTGAGCAGCTGGCCGTTCCCAGAAAGGGCACGTGTGCTGTTCTTTCCTAGTTACACGAGGGAGGGGTGTGTTTAAAATAAACTCATTAGACAGCAAGCAGCTGGCCTGTCCTGACCTCCCCCCACTTCCACCCTACTTCCCAGCTTTGGGGCATGGGCAGGTGCCTCTCCCTGCACTGGTGAGGGGTTGGGGTGAGCTGGCAGTGGCCGGAGGGCCCAGGGGTGAAGGAGCCGAGGTGTGTGGAAGGGAAGGCTTGTAGGATTGTGGGAGCCCACACAGCACGGCCCCTGCTGCCATGGCCGGTGATCCTAGGTGAGAGGGCTGTACTTTTCGTTCACAACTCAACACCTTGGAGACTGAGCTGCTGGCTCCCAAGTCATCCAAAGGGCAAGAGACCCGCAGGACCGGAGTCCTGTCAGCTCCCATCTTGCCCGGGTGATTTATGGACGTCAGAAATAAAGGGCTCCATTGACGGGAAGAACTCCTGCCCCGGGGAGGCACTGGAGTAGTGGATTCCTGGGCAGACGGCGGCTGCCTGTGGGAAGCTGCCCTGGTGGCCTCCGACCAAGACCGTGGAGCCCCTGGACCTGCGACTGCCTGCCTGTGCCGGAGAAGACGCTGCGCCCAGGGACTGTGGACGCGGACATGTCGAGCACAAGGTTAGCGCCTTGCCCGGGACAGCAGCAGGCATGGCTACCTACACAGCCGGGGCCCTGACGACACAGTACATGGCTGCCAGGGCGTAGAGCTGTCTGCTCTGGAACCTAGCGGAACACAGCACTGCCCTTCCCCACTTCTGCCAGTTTGGGTGGCACAGGGACAGCTCGGCATGGTCTGTGACCAGCTGCATCTTGGCTTTGCTCCCGGGGGTTTGTGTGTGTATACATTTATTTATAAGCAATTCCATAATGTATACATGGACAGCCAGTCACTAAGGCCAAGAAGCGGCTTAACCGACAGCCGTTCACTCCTCCATTTGTTCTGTCCAGGACTCTGCTGCCTGGGCAGGTGTCCAAGAGCAGGTGGTCACATTAGCTGGGTGCCTGGGTGCCTTTCCACTTGATGCAGGCTTGTGGCTCAGCGGGCATTCTCCACCAGGCAGCTGGCCCCCTCAGCATGTGGCTGGGACCCCAGGGGAGCCTGTGGTCTTACGGGTTGCCCACGCGACAGTCCCTGCTGCATCCTAAACCGGCTGTCCTGGGGGAACCAAGGGCAGTGTCAGCAAGCTGGGGAAGACCAGCCCATGGTAGGGGTTGGATCACCATCCTTTTTGGGGTGCCGCCCTGGCCTGCTCCTCCCCTCCAGCGTGATGTGAACTGAGTCCCCACCCCGGTGTGTTTCCTGCAGCTGTGCCACGGGTGGTCATGAGGCTCGCATACAATGGAGTGGACACTCAGAGGTCACACCGCCATCCCACACCCACTAGAACAAATGGGCAGACTGACGCTCAAGGCCCCTGCTGTGAACACCAGCCATGTTCTATAACTTGTTTCAAAAAAGTATTGCCAGGAGCTGGGAATTCACGCAGGTCTCCTAGGAGGGTGGGGGAGGCGTCTGGGTGCCCTCCGCTGCCTCCCGGCTGCCCCCCTCCATGCAGTTATATGAGGCAATGAGCCGGACGACCTGGCTGTCACCGTGGCTACAACAATCCAGATACTGCCACACAGGTGAGCTGCGATGGAGTTCAACGTGTGAGACTGGGATCTGGGGTGAGAGGGGCAACGGCTGGCAGGGGCCAGCTTGAGGACAGCTGAAGCACATCAGCAGTGTCACAGCAAGCTGGCCTGCTCGGTCTCTCAGCCATGAAGAGCTCTCTGGTAAGGATACGTGCTGGACGGGGGCCTTTCACAAAGGTGGCCAGGCAGAGGGGTGGGTGGCCAGGGTGAGGGGTAGGTGGCCAGGCAGAGGGGTGGGTGGCCAGGGTGAGGGGCGGGTGGCCAGGGTGAGGGGCGGGTGGCCAGGGTGAGGGGTAGGTGGCCAGGGTGAGGGGCGGGTGGCCAGGCAGAGGGGTGGGTGGCCAGGGTGAGGGGCGGGTGGCCAGGCAGAGGGGCGGGTGGCCAGGGTGAGGGGCGGGTGGCCAGGTAGAGGGGTGGGTGGCCAGGGTGAGGGGTAGGTGGCCAGGCAGAGGGGTGGGTGGCCAGGGTGAGGGGCGGGTGGCCAGGCAGAGGGGCGGGTGGCCAGGCAGAGGGGCGGGTGGCCAGGGTGAGGGGTAGGTGGCCAGGCAGAGGGGTGTGTGGCCAGGGTGAGGGGCGGGTGGCCAGGCAGAGGGGTGGGTGGCCAGGCAGAGGGGTGGGTGGCCAGGCTGAGGGGTGCACCCAGAGGCCTAGCACCCACTGGAAAGACAAGTCCCCATGGCAATTTCACCATGAAACCAGTGGAAAGGCCTCAGTGGGCAGCTCATATTCCGAGAAGTCTCCGCGCACAGGCCTGCTCTCCTGGGGCACCAGGATGGGTTTAAAATACACCCCAGCCACAAACTTCAGCACAACCAGGTGAGAAAAAACACTCCAATGAAATGCTCGTTTTGGCTTTTTTGCATGGATCAATGGAGAGAGGCTTCTGCTGAGCAGGTACAGTTCAGCCAGAGCTCAGCTGGAGGGAAACCTGGAGAGCCTGGGGTCCCAAGAGCCTGAGGTCCTGGGCGAGCAGTGGGCCCGGGGCTCCCACCAGACCATGTCCAGGCTGGTCCCAAGGGAGGGCCAGCCTGGGCGGCAACAGAGGGAGGTGGTTCCCCCAGTGGCAGGCTCTTGTCTGGGACCCCCTACCTCCAACACAGGCCTGAGCACCATGGGCCAGTGTTAACAAACCACTGAACTGTTTGGGCCACGGTGACATGAACGTGGCCTCGCAGGCCAACAGCCAGGACACAGTCTCTGAGACAGACAGCCCTTGCCATAACACTGCCATGTCCTGTCATGCGGCCTCCAGCAGCCCACATGGGTAGGCTGTCATGCGCATCTGCTGCCCGTGGCTGCCCCTTGGTCATCTGCCCCTCTGCTGCCTGGCCAGTGCCACTGTCAAGGTGTTGGCACCCAGGCGCAGGCCCTGCAGGCAGGAGACGGCCTGCTGGGCAGAGGCTGGGTCCTGGTAGCGGAGCAGGGCCGGGCGCCGTGGGCCCTGCCAGGTGAGCTGCAGGGGCGCCTGCCCGAGTTCCCGGAGGGCTCTCTTCAGGTCACTCACGCGTGCATCAAAGGGGAGGTTCCCCACAGAAACAGTGGCAGCAGCCAGCAGGCGGTCCTCTCGCTGTGGGGCACCACAGGTTCCTCCCTGGGGTTCCTGGTGCCTCCTGATACCCCCTGGGGGAGCCCCGTGCTGCCTGCCCAGCGGGGGACTGTGCCGGGGCCCCTCCTGCAGGGCGACATCCTTCCCGGCCTGCTCCTCCCGGCGCCGCAGGCTTCTTAGTATTGGGATTTTCTCCATCATCTCGTGGCTGACCTGCAAAAGCCAAGCAGTACCAGCTGCTGTGGGGTGGCCGCAGCAGGGACACAGCGCCATGGGGCATCTGACCTCTCTGCACACTGCCCAGCTGGGCTGCATGCCCTCACCCCAGCCTGGACTTCCGGGGTGAGGGGGGTCGCACGTCCGATGTCTTAAATGCAAAGTGTCACCAAGCTCTAGCTGTGATAACCTGGCCCCGACTAAACCCTGGGCTGTGTCCACACGGAAGTCCGGGCCGCCTCAGCGAGGCCTCCTGCCCCCACTGGTGCCTGTGGGTGGGCGCGGCCCCCACGTACAGGGCACGGCCACAGCCTGACCCACCTTGGACCACATGACCCCTGCTGGCTGTGGGCGCTCACAGCCCGTGACGATGATTCTGGTGGGAGTGAGAATGTAGTCCACCGTGATGTCGTGATCCTCAACAAGGGCTTCAGGGATGTCCCTGACCTGTAAGACGGGGACAGGTCAGGACGCCACCAGGGAGCCAGTGGAAGTGGGTGAGCCAAGCACCCCATCTTCTCTCTGGGGTTGGTCCCCATGCCTGGATATCCACCCGTGCAGATCAGCACCATTTGTGCGATGACTGGGTGCAAAGCCAGAGGAGCCCCCGACATCAACCCACCCCGTGCCCTCAGAGAAGCACCTGGCAGTCATGGACGATGGTGACCACTGGTGTCCCCCTGTGGACGGCTCCCATCGACACCATCATGGCATATTCAAGATCTGCGTAGCCTTCTCCCTTCCCGATCCGCCAGCCTGAGAGGGCGGGAGAATGCGTTCTGGGGTGCTGATGGTGTGGGGGGCACTGCTCACCAGGGTACGGGGAGGGGTGCTGCCCCCCAACATCCCCAGCCTGTCCAGAGCAGCTCCCTTGGGTCCCCAGCATGTCGCTGAAAATGAACTGGGGAGTCACACAGGCCCAGAGGCAGTGGGAACCCCACACGGGCAGAGCAAGCCTCTTCAACATGTCCTAGTTACCTGGGGGCTGGGGCTCACACTGGGCTCGAAGTGAGCAGTGCTTGGGTTTTTGCGGGTGACCAAGACACTCTGCACCCACTGATGTTAGGGAAAGGTCAGGCATGAGGCTGGGTCTCCTCCAAGGCGCTCATCCCCTCCTGCAGTCCGCGGGGAGAGGCGTGCACGGGCTGCTCCCTGCTGGAGGCTGCCCAGCTCCCCCTCAGGGGTGAGCCATCCCTCCTGGCTCTTGCTGCGTGCTCAGCTGGTGAGCAGGGAGCACGCTCCAAGCACACAGTAAGAGCTGAGCAGGGCAGGAGGGCCACTGCACATCAGGGACCTAAGGCTGATATCAAGGGGCCGTTCCCCATTCCGGGGTACTGTGCTGGCTGGGAGACTGGCTGTGGCTTTCCCCTAATCCCCGACTTTCCCCAGAAACAGGAAGTAGAAGTAAAAAATTTGAAATCCATGATCACACCCACCTTTCCCTAACCCTCAATTCTTCCCATCCTGGTCAACTTTGTAAACATCACCACACATGAGACACCAAGGGGCCACAGCCAGAGCTGTGGGCACCAGCGGGCACCTCAGGGGCCACGGGAGACGTGGCGGCTGGAGCCCTGGTGCGCAGCAGCAGCCCGGTACAACCATCACGACTGTGCCACCCCGCCTTCCGGTCTTACCTTTCTCAGAAACAGCCACGGATCCCACCACCACTATGTCCACCTGGACTCTGGACTCCAGGCCCACGGGCAGGCTGTGGCTCCTCACGCCCTGCAGAGGGACACACCTGCCAATTTCTTCATCAATTCACTTTATCACACACAGCTGTGAAAAGCCACAACAGATCCTACTTTTGGAATGGCAGGCTACCCTCCAGACCAGGAGCTCCTCGCTGGCCCAGCTCCGGCCACGGCTGCCACGTGCAGAGTGAACCAGCGGGAGATCTTTCTCTGTCTCTCCTTTCTGTAAGTCTCATCTGCCTTTCAACGAAAAATAATCTTTTTTTAAAAAGTTATCTACTTGAAAGGCTGAATGACACAGAGGGAGGCTGTCCTGACTCACTCCCTCGACGGCCGCAGCAGCTGGGCAAAGCCAGCCAGGAACTTGCTCCCTCCTGCGAGCCACGTGGAACTCAGTACCCGGGCTCAGCTTGTCTGCTGCCGCACAGGCCCAGCAGGAAGCCGGATCGAAAGAACAGAGTGGCCAGAACTTGAACCAGGCACCCTGATGCAGGGTGTCGGCGTCCCGGACACTGGCTGAGCCCACCGCACCAAGACACCCACCCAAAGTACCTTGAGCTTCTGAAAACCAGGCATCGCTGTATCAGTAATACGCATTTTCCAGCAGCGTTCTGAACACGTTTTATTTATCTGTCACGATTACTCACCTCTAACTTGTCAGGCACTCTCAGTGATGCCTGTTTGAGAAGTTCTGCCCTCTCCACTCTTGTTTGTAGAGTGGGCTTGTGGGGCTGGCACCGTGGCATAGCACACTAAGCCTCTACTTGTGCTGCCAGCATTCCATATGGGCACCAGTTCAAGACCCGGCTGCTCCACCTCCAATCCAGCTCCCTGCTGACGGCCTGGGAAGGCAGGAGGACGGCCCAAGACCTTGGTCCTACACCCACGAGTGGGAGACCTGGAAAAAGCTCCTCCACTCTCCACAGGGCGGGCAGGGTCAGGAGCTTCCCTGTGGGTGCCCCGCTGCCGCGCTCACCTCCGAGGTGGCACATCGCCTCAGGATGTCCTTGGTGGCTCCGGGGGGTGGCGTGATCTTATTGAACAGCCCAGTCCTCAGCCGGGGCGTCGGAACCAACAGGGTTTTCTTGCTCTTTAAGAGAAAGGCAATGAACTCGAAGCTGTGATTTCACAGAGGCAAGCAAACTGGGATTATCTGCTTTCTGTGTGCGTGTGTGCGTGTGTGTGCTCAGAAAATCGCTTGTTTGTACTCAGTGTGTGGGTCCATCTTTCTCAGCGTCCCTGCCCTGCGGGACTCACTCTGTCCAGCTCGCCAGGCCCACGTCGCTCGCCACTCAGGTGTTACAGTACGAATGGACGCAGACACCCAGGCCAAGCATGCTCCTGGGAAGTCTCCCGTTGGAACTCACTCTATTTTCAACAACGTTTCAACCAGAATAGCGTAAGGACACTGGACATGAAAAACCCTCTCGGTCAAGCACTTGTATCTAGCTTGCCAGTTCTGTCCATCAGCTTCGGAGAGTGACCACTGGACTAAGTCACCCTGCTGTCACCTCCCGCCGTCCCGTGCTGACCACATTTTCTTGTGCCTTGTCAGTGGTCACGACACCGCCTATGTCACATTCCCGGGTCACAGGAGCCTCCTCTCAGTGCCCAGGCGCCCTGTGGCCAGTCCCTGGAGGGGCTCCCACAGCGAGGGCCCAGTCCTGCAGCATGAGTCCCCAGAGGACCCAAGTCGTGGACACTCCTGGAGCCTTGGAAACCACGAGCAGGGACGGCCGGGCAACAGATCCCACAGGAAAAGCACGGTGAGGCCTATCATGTGACCGGAGGCAGCCTCGGGCCCACAGAAGGCCCACGAGTCCAGCTGGCTGAGCAGCTCCCGGGCACGCCCTGGCCACCCAGCAGCCTTGCCCGGGGTGGGCTCCGGAGGCAGATCTGTGCTGGGGGCCACACAACACGGGCAGAAGGCAGGACAGCTGGAACCCGACAGCAACCATCACACCCACATGCCCGCCCGTTCTGAGCACCTCTGGACCTTTGTACTTCATGGAGCAACTTATTCTGGTTTCTAGCAAGTCACTTAGAGTCATGGCATTAAAACTCAGACCAACTTTTATTCAGTGAGGTTATATGAGTTTAGACTCCCCTGGGGGAACTCACTTCTTTTGCTTGAGAAGGGGTATGTCTGGGAGGGGCGCTCCCCTTTCTGTACCCGGGGACCCACCTGCTGGATTTATCATGAGTGCTCCCCTTTCAAGGACACAAGGACGCAGGCTGCCTCCCTTGCCAGGACAGCAGCTCGGCTCAGGGACCCCACTGCTAATGCCTTGGGTCTCTTGTTTAAAAACCCAGGGCTGGGCCTGCAAGCTGACCGCTGAGAGAGAGACTGCACCAGCCAGCTCCCTGCACCAGCAGCTGGGCTTACCTGCAGGGCCAGCAGCCGAACGCCTTCCAGGGGTTTGTCGGGGTCCACTTTCACTTCCCGCGCGCTGGCAAAAACATCCAGGTCTTGGATGTTGCGGCAAGCCAGGTAGGAGCCCTATGGGGACAGACGCACGGTGCTCACCTCCAGGACAAGGAAGCGTGCGTTTCTCTGGGGCGCGTCCGGGTTCACCTTCACGGTCCTGGCTGCTTGGAACGCCTGCAAGCGTAGCAGGAGCTGGGCAGCATGGGCAGCGCCCTGTGTGGAAGACCACTGCCCGTCACCGAGCGGCCTGGGAGCCCTCGCCCGTGGCAGGGTGCCCGGAGACCTGCAGTAGTGGGAGGTCGGGGTCTGGGAGGGGCAGAGGCCCGAGGGAGGCCGACCCCCGGCGTGGCGGAGCTGCACCCCGTGAGCGTCTGACTGGTCTCTACGCCCAGCCTTCCCTCCTACCTTAAAGTTAGGAATCCTGTGGTGCACGGGGCGGGGAAAGTCGGCTAAATTGTGAGACTCCAAGTAGTCCCAGACGTGTTGCCGGATGTCGTGCTTGGAGACACCTACTGTGACAAAGGGCACTAAGTCACCATTCCACACGACGCACAACCAGAGCTGATGGGGTCCGCCTCTCCAGACGCCCCGTGCCTCCCCCAGGACCACCGACCTCACAGTCACAGGAGACCACCACCCAAACCCCAGCCCCCAGCCTGCTCCCAGTCCCCGAACCCCGCTGGGACGCAGGGGCCTGGCTCGGCTGGTTCTGATGTGGTGAAACCCTCGATCGCTGTGAGCCAAGGAGGCAGGACTCCAAGCTGAGCGGCGTGTCAGCCGGCTGTGGCCTCAGGACTTCAACCCCAGGTCCTCGCCCCTTTAGCAACGCTGTCCTTCACTGACCAGGACTGGGGCGGCATTAATGCAACCCCACACAAGCCACGCATTCCGCGTGCGCTGGAGAACCCTGAAGTCACTTTCCAGTCAAGTACAAGCACAGAACCAGCCCATTCACAGGCGCACCCTCGCCTTGGGGTACCGGGGATCCCCGAACTCCGCCAGGAGGACCAGCCGGCCGATCCATGTCTACGTCATCGGCGCGCGACGCCGCCCGGGCGGAGGTGACGTCACCGGAGGGGGCGCCGAGACTTCCGAGGGCGGGCCCGTGGCGCGCGCCGATGACGCCGGGCGAGCTGGGCCGGCCGGGGCGCTGGGCAGGACCCGGCGTGTCCGCGCGGACCGGGGCCTGCTCCCACCCACCCTGCAGGCGGAGACGCCGCTCCCGCAGAGCCTCGGGTGCCCACGCCGACCGTGGGAGGCGAACCTGCGGTCCGGGGGAGATTGTGTGTCTGTGCCTCGGGGAGACGCGCGCCTGGGCAAGCCTCCCTCGCCCTCCTGGGGCCCTGGGGACGCCTGACCAAGTGGCCGCGCGCACCCCTGCCTCCCGCCCGAGTCCAGCTCCCAGGCCAACGGGCGGTATGCACGGTGTCCCCCGGGGGGCCACCGCGTGGGCCTGTGCGCCCCGCTTCTCGTGGGCCACCGCCTGGGCCCCGTGCGCCCTGCCTCCCGGAGCGGGGTAGCTCCTCCGTGGCCTCTGGCTTGAGCCAACGTCGTGCCAGGGTAACCCCAGGTGCCTCCGGCGTCATGGAGGAGCTGTTTCACTCTCCAAATGCCCAAACTGGGCCAGCAGCCAGGAAGTGCCCCCCCAGTCTCCCATGGGTGCCCGGCCCCCAGCTGTCACGCCTGCCTCCCGGCCGGCCCAGAAGCAAACACGGACTGGCTCCCTGGCACCCCAAGTCCCCCGCTCCCGCACAACTGGGCCGGGGGTCCTCACGCGCCCGCCTCCCAGCCTGATTGCGTGCCTGGCAGCTCTGCCACTTCTCTCTTCTGGGTGCGTGTATGTCTCCCACCCCAGACATGGTCGGCCGGGCTGCGTGGAGGAGGGGACAGAGCATAGGAAAGAGGTGCGAGCAGAGGTGTTTGCAAGTGGGGCCAGACATGACCCTAAGAGAGGAGTTCCCACCCCACGCAGCCTGGTCAGCTGTGGGCCGTCCCAGCCGGGAGGGCCTCAGGTGGGCCCCCACCCGCCCAGAGAGGAGAGTGGAACAGATGGCCAGTCACCAAGGCGTGTGTCCACCTGAGCCTCCTGCCTTCCAGCCTTGTCCACGCAGTGCGGCTCTCTGACCCCCGGCCTGGTCTGTCTCGGGGGCCCTCCTGGCTCTTAGCTGATCTCCGTGTGGCATGTGGAACACTCCACAGAGGCAGCAGTGAGCGCCAGCACAGCCACCGTGAGGTCCCCTGGCGGGGTGATAGTCCACGCACCACACAAGACCCCTCTCCCCCCAGGAACCACGCCAGCTCATTGCCAGCTCAGACACTGGGCGGGAAGCTCTGTGGTCCCTCCCGGGCGTGGGGCATCCTGGGAACCAGCTCCCCCTGTGCCAGGCCTGGGCCATCGTGGACAGCTCCCCTGACTGACTGCATAGTTGGGTGGGAGGCAGACAGCCCCATGCCTCCACGTGGGAGCACCATGCCGTGTAGGCACGTGCAGCCGTCCCAACCTTGCCGGGGACAGGTACGTGGGCACTGCCAACACTCTGAGGTTGGAGGCTGTCTCAGACATCTTGGTAGGCCCCGGAAGGCGTTCCAAGGCTGGGGCATCTTGGACATTTTGGTGGGCCCCAGAAGGTGCCAGCAGCTGCATGCCAGGGTTTCCTTTGTCCAGGCCCAGAGAACCCACGCTTCCCCTCTCCTGGAGGGCTGAGTGAGAGGCCCAGGCCTGCTGCTCCCCAGCTGTGTGAATCTGGGCACCAACCTGGGCCTCATGCCATGGTGAGGCGAGCATGTCAGCTGGCGTCTGCCCTCACACAGCCCTGGGAGCTGGTGAGGGCCATGGGTGCCTGGCTGGAGCAGGTGCCCTCCTGCTGACCCTGGCAGGCATGGAGCACCAGTGACGGCCTGTCGTAAGTGCTAGGAAATATGTGGAATGGGGTCCTGTGTGGGACGTGCCGTGGGAGACAGGGATGAGGGGTGTCGGGGGCTGCCAGGTCTCTGCCTACCTGCCCTGTTCCTGGTGGTGCAGGACAGACATCCAGGGAGCCAGCGACACTGGGAATGGGAGCCTGGGGTGAGTGGCCTGGGGGGTAGTGAGACAGTGTGTGGGCAGGCAGGGGTCAGGAAGAGGCCAGTACAAGGCACCGTCCTGGCCTGGGCTGTGCTGACACTGCCCGGCCTGGGCAGCACAGGGTGGGGTGGGAGGCGCGTTCCTGTCTCCTGCAGACTCCTCAAGATCATGTTGCCCGCTGCTGCCATTGTGCAGGCCAGCCCAGCAGGAGCAGCCCGACTTCCTCCCCTAGGGATGAGTGCCCTGGCCCCGGAGGGTTAGCCACGGGCTGTGGCCTGTCCATGCAAAAGCTCACTGAAGCTTGGTGCTGAGTGTGGGAATGAGGTGCACGTCCCAGCTCCCGTGTCCAGTTCCAGCGTGTGCAGACCTGGGGGTGGCAGGGATGGCTCAGGTGCCCAGAGACCAGCTGTGGCCAGCATTTGGGCAGTGCTGCTTTCTTGAGAGCTGGCGTCTGTATGGGGTTAGTGTGGGTTAGCACTGGGCAGCATGGGATTAACACGGGGTTGGAATGGAGGAGCACAGGGTTAACATGGGTTAGCACGGGGTTAGCACATGGTTAACACGGGCTTAGCATGGTGTTAGCTCGGGGTAGCTGCAGGGGCCAGCGTGCAGCCCCTCCTCATGACGCTTTGGGGCATGGTGGCCCACACGTTGGCTGGGGCTTGCACACTGACTGAACGTGCACATTGGCCCAAACACAGGCAGAGGGCTTACCGCACAAGGGCATTTTAGAACACTTCACTCCCAGGAGGCATTGCGAGGACAGTGTGCAGTATTGCCTCTAGCTTGTTCCCTGAGCCGCCCTGGCTTCCCCTGCACTGCCCACACCCACATCCTGTGGCCCTGGGAAGGACAGTGGGAGCGGGGGACCCCCAGCCCCCAAAACACAATCTAAAAAGAGATTTACTCCCCAGATGGCCGAGAACTTCTCTGGTCCCCCAAGCAGGTACAGGGGCTCACTAATGCCATTCCAGGTGCAGGTGGTGTCTTAGCACGCAAGCCACAGCAGCAGCCAGACTTGGTAAGTTCTGCAGGTGGGGCTCCTGCGGTGCCCTGCTGCGGTGTGTCCACAAGGCGGCAGCACCCCCGCTCCAAGCCCCAGGCAGTGCCAGCCAGGACCAAGCGTGCCCCTGCTGCCAAGGGAGCAGAAACCTGTCTTGGGGCCTAGACTTTCCTGCCTGGGGACTGGGGTTCTTGTACCCCGCCTCTGTGGAAGGCTGCAGGCACTGCCCGTTGTCCGGGGCCTGGCTGAGCTGGGCGCCCCAGAGGCCTGCACGCCGGGTCCCAAGGTCGGTGACTCTCAGGTGCTTGGCGTGTCACAGGTGCACACCCCCCCACCCCCAGGAGCAGAATCTCCGGCAGCCTGCCAGGGTTTCTGCATTTCCAGCAAAGTCTCGGCGCGAATTCGGCGCCCCCCTCGAGCCCGGTCAGCTGTGGAGTGTATGAAGGCGCTCACCTGTGAGAGAGAGGTGACCACTGGACAGCCACAGCCGAGGAGGGTGCGTGGCCAGCGGAGGGCGAGCAGCGGTCCAGGTGCTGGGACATCCCAGGGTGAAAAGTGAGAAGTTAGTACTGCAACTGGCGGACCTTCAGCTCTGTATGTGGTAACAGCCTGTTGGCCACAGCACCAGACACTTGGCTGAGCTGCCAGCCCCGGGGTGTGTCCACCAGGTGGCAGCACCAGCCTCTGTGTGTCCCGGGCAGGCCGGTCATTGCCATGCCGGGCCTGGGCAGAGCCTGGCCGCAGGCTGGGCAGCAGTTCACTGCATGGAAGCATTCTTACTTTGTTTTGCTTTTTAAAAAAAGTTATTTACTTGAAAGGGAGAAGGACATCTTCCACTCTCAAAACAGCTGCAATGACCAGAGCTGGTCCAGGTTAAAGCCAGGAACCTCGCCAGGCCTGCCACCTGGGTGCAGGAACCCAAGGCTTTGGGCCGTCCTCCACTGCTTTCCCAGGCCACAGGCAGGGAGCTGGATGGGAAGTGGAGCAGCGGGGACATGAACCAGCGCCCACACGGACCTGGTGCTTGCAGGTGGAGGCCGTGGCTGCCGTGCCACGGTGCCGCCCTTGCTGAGTTTTCATGGTGCTCTGTTGGTCTCTCTTGTCCTAGGCAGAGGTGACGGCGTTTGGCACGCACGCACTGGCGCCGCCATCCTGAGGGCAGAGTGCAGAGAGGCCCACAGGCTGGCAACGGCTGGCGTTTCGGTCAAATCCTGGAGCAACTGACACAGGTCAGGAGCGGCTGGATGGGGAGACAGGAAGCTGAGGAGGAGCTGGGGCTGCCGTGAGAACAGGTCGGCTGGATGGCGCTTGGGTCGGGGAGTCTTCTATTTGCGGTTCACGCTGCAAAATGGCTGCGGAGGCGGGGGGCCTGGAGCTCCTTCCTGGTCCCAAAACCCTGGGACCCTGCACCAGCGCATGGGAGAGCCAGAAGAAGCTCCTGGCTTTGGATTGGCTCGGCTCTGCAGCTGGATTGCGGCTTTGGGTTGCAGCTACTTGGGGAGTGAACCAGTAGTCAGTGGACAGAAGATTTTTTTGTCTCTCCTCTCCATAAATCTGATGTCTTTTTTAAAGAATAAAGAACACTTTAAAAAGAATTTTTAAACTTCTTTTTATTGTCACGTTATGGTAGAGTTCCATAGGCCCTGGGATTTCCCTTGGCTCCACTCCTAGTCCCCTCGCCCCCCACCGAGTTCCCCTATATCGTTACTGTAGTATAGCTCATGCAGTCATATGTCCATCATTGCGGGCATCGTTGGTCTGGAAGTAGAGGTGCATACTGCATTGTATCCTCACATCTGGATATGATAGTCTCCATTACACAGTTACTACACATCCCCTTAAGTGAAAAGCCACAATACAAAATCAACAACAGGAAGAAAAAAAATTAACAACACCATGAATTTAATAACATGCTACTGAAAGACTAATGTGTTGCTGAAGAAATGAAAACCAAGAACTTTCCTGAAGAAAATGATGCTACTGTATGATGAGTCATTGAAGAATTATATCAGAAGAAAGTGTGTTTTTTAAAGACTTATTTATTGTTTTTATTACAAAGTCAGGTATATAGAGAGGAGGAAGATCTTCTGTCTGATGGTTCACTCCCCAAGTGAGCGCAACGGCCGGTGCTGTGCCGATCAGAAGCCGGGAGCCAGGAACTTCCTTTGGGTCTCCCACACGGGTGCAGGGTCCCAAGGCTTTGGGCCGTCCTCCACTGCTTTCCCAGGCCACAGGCACAGAGCTGGATGGGAAGTGGAGCTGCCGGGATTAGAACCGGCGCCCAGATGGGATCCCGGCAGGTTTAAGGCGAGGGCTTAAGGGCGGGGGCCAGAAGAAAGTGTTTTGGTGAGATACAGTTCCCACCGATCTTTGTTGATGAGATGTGTCTCCTGTAGACAACAGATCCGACGGGTTTTGTTTTTTAATCCAGTCTACTAATCCATGCCGTTGGATTGATGAGTTTAAGCCATTTACATTCAGGGTTAATAGGAAGGGGTGGTAATTTGGTCCTTTCATTTTTTTGCAATGGATTGTTCATATTTAGTCTTCTGTTGTCATTTTACTGGGATGTTCTTCACATTTACCTTTGGTTTTGGTGGGTGCTATTCCTTTACTCTGTCCAGAGAACATGTTTTAAAAAATGATTTAGTTTAATTGGAAAGGCAGATATACAGAGAGGAGAGACAGAGAGGAAGATCTTCTATCTGCTGACTCACTCCTCAAGCGGCCGCAATGGTTAGAGCTGAGCCAATCCCAAAACCAGGAGCCAGGAACTTCTTCCAGGTCTCCCACGCGGGTGCAGGGTCCCAAGGCCTTGGGCCGTCCTCGACTGCTTTCCAAGGCCACAAGCAGGGAGCTGGATGGGAAATGGGGCCATCAGGATTAGAACCAGCAACCATATGGGATTTTGGGCCGTGCAAGGTGAGGACTTTAGCTGCTAGGCCACCATGCCGGGCCCCAAGAAAACATCTTTAAGTATCATTTGTAGGCAGGTTTGGAAGAGGCATATTTTAACTTTTCTTTACTGTGGAAGAATTTTATTTCATTTTCAAAGACAAAGGAAAGCTTTGCGGGGTACGTTATCCTGGGCCAACATATTTTTGCTTTTAGAATCTGGAATATGTTGCTCCGTTCTCTTCTGGCCTGTAGAGTTTCCTGCGAGAGGTCTCCTGTGAGTTTAACTGGCAGTCCTTTGTATGTCAGTTGATGTTTTTCACGTGCACATTTAAGGATCTTTTCCTTGTGTTCAGTTGAAGAGAGCTCGACGATGGTGCGTCTTTGGTCAGGCCTGTTGGAGTTCCGTGCCCTCCTGGCTGTTGATTCCCAGTTCTTTCTCCAGATTAGGGAAATTTTCCTTATTATTCCATTGAATACATTTTGAAACTCAGCTTCTCTTTCTGCACCTTCTCAACTCCTATAACTTATATCCACCCTTTTCATAGTGTCTTTCAATTCTTGAATCCTTTTCTTTTAAAGCTTGGCCCAGCTCTGCTTCCAGCTTTTGATTTCCCTCTGGTGACAAGAAATATGTTCTGATTTTGAGATTCTTTGTCCTGCCTCCTTCATTCTGTTTTGGAGACTCTCCACTGTACTTTTAATTTGCTCTACTGTGTTCTTTATTTCTGATATGTTAGCTATCTGATTTCCTGTGTGACAAGTTCCTTGAATTCCTTGAACGCCTGCTTTATGTGCTTTTCATTGTTGATAAGACGCTTTATATCAAGTGTTTTGAATTCTGTGTCCCCCATTTTCTTGATGTCTTCCTCAGTGAACTCTGAAGTTGGCATAGGGTTTTGCTCCTTTGCAGGGGAATGCTCAGTAATATTCATGGTGCCTCTGTCTCTTCTTTTGCTCTTGGTCATTGTACTTCTGGTTAGCAGAGTCTTCTCCTTGGGGCAGGTGTCTAAGCTGTGCCACCCACAGGTTTACAGTTTGATTTTACTTATTGCAGTTGGTACACGGCTCTGTGTGCGGGCACTTGTGCCACTCCCTCCAGCAAGTTCCAGGTCTGGGTTCTTATGTTAGATTTCCACCATGGTCTCCATAGCCCAGCTCCTGGCTCACCGGTCTCTACCTCCTGTGATACCGTGCTGAGGCTGCACCGTTGTCTCTGCAACCTTTCTCCCACTTCCAGCTGGAGCAGGTCCCAGGATTAGGGAGACATCAGGTGTCCTATATAGCTAGGTTGTTGCTGGTGCTGATCTTGCAGGAACCTGTTGGCCATTAGGTCTGAGGGCCACACGGACCTGTTTTGACCCGTACGATGCCATAGTTGGCATTATTTTCCCGTGGGACCAGTGCAATGCCCTGAGCTCAGTGAGTTCTTGCCGAGCTCAGCACATGCGCAGCTCACTGCTGTCCTTGCAGTCTTAAAGCCTTTGCCACACTGTGTGAAATGGCGCCTGATGTGCCACACTGCTAGAGTTCTTGATCTGCTGGCCGTCAGGCCTGAGGGCTAACTGGGTGGAACCGGTCACATGCCACGGTGTTGCAGTTCCCTGAGCCAGAAATGAGTTCACAGCTCAGTGGGTATGTAGTTCTGCCCCATAGCCCTTGTCTCGTTGAACAAAATGGCACCTGATTCGGCCCCAGGAGGTGGACTGGGCTGTGACGTCCACCCTGCTCCTGCACCGCCCGTCTGGGCCCTGCTGCTCTCTCTGCTCCTGGTCAAGTCAAACCGACCAGCAGGACGGGCAGTTCTTTGGGTTCACTGCCTGAGCTCCCGGTGAACGTCCCTTCCCACCTGGTTGCTGGTGCAGTTCTGCTCCCGTTTGCTGAATGCCGCTGGAGTGTCAGTCACCCAGCACCACACCGCCATGTCTCCTGCTTTCCTGTGTCTGTCAGTCTCCGGGTGCCCTCTGCTGCTGTTCTGTCCTCTCCTGTTTCCTGGAATGAGCCTCTCTGCTTCCCACGGGCTCATGTTTCTCCGTCTGTTTAAACGTGTCCTGACCCTTTTCTGCCATCTTGGTCCCCCCCAAATCTTCTTAAACAGAGTGAACTAGCTCAAAGTGGAGGAACCAGAATTCGAGCCGTGATCCCCTCAGCCCTGGAGGTGATCCCCTCAGCCCTGGAGGTGATCCCCTCAGCCCTGGAGGTGACCCTCAGCCCTGGAGGTGATCCCCTGGCCCTGGAGGTGATCCCCGACCCTGGAGGTGGCTGCGTGGCCTGTGAAGCAGCACACCCCAGGCTGGACCTGAGAGTGAGAGGGCATGGGGGTTTACTCTCCAGGGGCCACCGTGGCCAGGGTCCTGAACTTGATCCAGGTCCTCCATGTGGTGGAAGGGCCCAAGGGCTTCGGTCATTCCAGCTGCTTTCCCAGATGCGTTGTGAGGGAAGGGGTTCAGAAATGCAGAAGTCCAGGGGCCCGGTGCAATAGCCTAGTGGCGAGAGTCCTTGCCTTGAATGTACTGGTGATTCCATATGGGTGGCAGTTCTAATCCCAGCAACCATACTTCCCATCCAGCTCCCTGCTTGTGGTCTGGGAAAGCAGTTGAGGACAGCCCAAAGTCTTGGGACCCTGCACCCGTGTGGGAGACCTGGAGGAAGTGCCTGGTTTTGGGTTGGTTCAGCTCAAGCCGTTGCAGCTGCTTGGGGATAGAAGATCTTTCTGTCTCTCTTCCTCTCTGCATATCTGCCTTTCCAATAAAAATAAGTAGACCATAAAAGAGCAGGAGCATGGACTTGAACTGGCGGTCTCTGGCACCATAGGTCAAAGTTTATCATGTTGTACCGCAGGACCAGATGTTGTGTGGGCTGCGCAGGTCAGACTCCTGTGGTGCAACCCCGCGGTGTGTCCGCCAGGCGGCAGCACCGGCCTTATAATCGGAGCTCGCGCTCTTCCAGCGCAGTTCCCGACGCCGGCCACCAGATGGCGCGTCGTGCCCAGAGTCCGGCCGAGCCCCGCGGCGCGCTGCGCCTGGAGCGCCTGGGGCGCCTGGCCTCGCCGTCCACTCCGGGGACACTCGGGGCCCCGCGGCCGACGCCATCCGCTCCTCTCCCCGTGCACGGCAACGGCGTGGTGCAGGCCAGCACCCGCCCCAGCTCCAGGCCGGTGCTAGCCGGGTCCACGCGCGCGCGGCGTGGTGAGGGGCGCTGGACCCGCACCTGCCCCTGAGCGGCGCAGCAGGGACCTGTCCCAGGGCCGCCTCTCCTGTGCGGCCTGGGGTCCTCCCTGCACCCCGCCTGCCGGTGTGGGGATGCGGGGGCGCGGGCCTGGGCACCTGGAGGCCCCACCACCCCGTGCAGGGAGTGGGCGCCCGTGGGCCGAGCTGGACAAGCGGGGACGCAGGACCTGCATCGCGCTGAAGGTGCTTACACGCACGCGTGGACACAGGCCCACACACGCTCGTGTGCGTAAGACGGCTACAGGGCTGTCCTGCCTCGTGCCTCTGCCTCGCGCAGTCGGACAGCCTGGGGGCCAGGAGCGTACGCCCCAGGCCCCTCGAGCCGAGTGTGGTCCCCGCGCGGGACGCTGGATGCCGTCGGGGCGCAAGGAGAACCCGAGACGCCAAGACCTTCCCGGGGGCGCGGACCTGCGCTGTGCGGGACGCTGCGGGCGGCGGTGCACGGACTGGGGACCCCGCGAGGAAGCAGGCCGGGCGCGCCATTCCCACAGGGTCCCCGATGGTGCCACTCTGCACGCTTGTAGCTAAGCAGGCCGAACTAAACCAAGCACCCCCCGCGCAAACCTCCAGCCGGGCTGCGGGCAGGGGCGCCCCGCGGGGTGGGCCGGGCGCGAAGCCCCCCACGAGAGCAGCCTGGGCTTTCGGGCCAGGGCAGGGGCAGCGAGCGTCCACGCGGGAAAGGGAAGCGGGGCTGGCCGAGTCGCGGGGACGGTCCCCAGGGGCGCCGCGGCCGGAGGGGCCCCGACAGCTGCCGTGCTTCTCCGGGCCGGCCCGAGCTGCCAGCCGGGCGTTCGCTCGGTGCGGACGCGGCCTCCGGGGCTCCGGCTTGCTGCCCTGCGCCCTGGCTGGGAATCGGGCCTGGTAATTAGGAAATCTCGTGACCCGCCTCACCGCTCATTAATAAGGAAAACGTCCCAGGATCCCGGCCGCTTTCAGGGTCTTTGGGGGAACTACCCAATTCCATCCATCGATTCAACCTCGTATTTTAAACGGGATGGTTTTGTTTGGTTTTGCCCAAGGAATATCGCTTCTCTGTCCAGGGCATGTGTGAGCCCATTCCCCAAAATATGATAATGAGACACATGTTAAGGAGACTTGAAAAAAAAATCCCACTTTATTTTAGACTCGCCAGTCCAGACCCGACTGCCGCGGAGCCCGGGGCGCGGGCTGGGTCTTAGAGCCGCCGGATTGGGCGCGCCTCGCCCCGATTGGCGCCGGGTCCTCGCCGCCGTCGCCGATTGGCCCCAAGTTGCAGGAGAGGGCGTGGCCTGCGGGAAGTAAAAACTCGCTTTCAGCAAGAAGATTTTTTGAAACTTTTCCCAATCCCTAAAAGGGACTCGGCCTCCTTTTCCGGGCTCGGCTCGCCGACCGCTCGAGGCCGCCGGTCCGCCGCGGGGCCCGGGGAGCCGCCTGCTGCGCTCCTGCGTGCGGACCGGAGCGGCCGGCCGGGGCCCGGGAGCGGGCCGGGGCGCCAGGGGCCCGGGGCGCACGCCGCGGGATGCTGCTGCGCCCCGTGCGCTGAGCCGAGCCCCCTCCTCGGGCCGCGCGCCCCCCGCACCTCGCCCCCGGCCCGCCGGCCCCGTGCGCACGAGCGGGGGCGAGCCGCCGCGGACAGTATGCAGGCGCGCTACTCGGTGTCGGACCCCAACGCGCTGGGAGTGGTGCCTTACCTGAGCGAGCAGAGCTACTACCGCGCGGCGGGCAGCTACAGCGGCATGGCCAGCCCCGTGGGCGTCTACCCGGGCCACCCGGAGCAGTACGGCGCGGGCATGGGCCGCCCCTACGCGCCCTACCACCACCACCAGCCCGCGGCGCCCAAGGACCTGGTGAAGCCGCCCTACAGCTACATCGCGCTCATCACCATGGCGATCCAGAACGCGCCCGAGAAGAAGATCACGCTGAACGGCATCTACCAGTTCATCATGGAGCGCTTCCCCTTCTACCGGGAGAACAAGCAGGGCTGGCAGAACAGCATCCGCCACAACCTCTCGCTCAACGAGTGCTTCGTCAAGGTGCCCCGCGACGACAAGAAGCCCGGCAAGGGCAGCTACTGGACGCTGGACCCGGACTCCTACAACATGTTCGAGAACGGCAGCTTCCTGCGGCGGCGGCGGCGCTTCAAGAAGAGGGACGTGCCCAAGGAGAAGGGCGAGCGCGCCCACCTCAAGGACGCCAAGGGCGCCCCGGCGGGGCCCGCGCTGGCCGACGCCCCCAAGGAGGCCGAGAAGAAGGTGGTGGTCAAGAGCGAGGCGGCGTCGCCCGCGCTGCCCGCGGTCACCAAGGTGGAGACGCCGAGCCCCGAGAGCGCGCGCCAGGGCAGCCCGCGCAGCGCCCTCTCCACGCCCGCCGGCTCGCCCGCGGGCTCGCTGCCCGAGCACCACGCCGCCGTGGCCGCGCCCAACGGGCTGCCCGGCTTCAGCGTGGAGAACGTCGTGACGCTGCGATCGTCGCCCCCGGGCCTGGTGGTGCCGCCGCTGGCGCTGCCCTACAGCGCGCCGCCCGCCGCCTACGGGCAGCCGTGCGCGCAGGGCCTGGAGGCCGGGGGCCCCGGCGGCTACCAGTGCAGCATGCGCGCCATGAGCCTGTACACGGGCGCCGAGCGGCCGGCTCACGTGTGCGTCCCCGCCGCCCTGGACGACGCCCTCTCGGAGCATCCGGGCGGCCCCGCGTCGCCGCTGAGCGCCCTCGGCCTCGCCGCCGGCCAGGAGGGCGCGCTGGCAGCCGCGGGCCACCAGCACCAGCAGCACCACGGCCACCACCACCCACCCGCGCCGCCGCCGGCCCCGCAGCCGCAGCCCGCGCCCCAGCCCGGGCCCGGCGCGGCTCAGGCCCCCCCCTGGTATGTCAACCACGGCGGGGACCTGAACCACCTCTCGGGACACACGTTCGCGGCTCCGCAGCAAACTTTCCCCAACGTCCGGGAAATGTTCAACTCCCACCGGCTGAGTGTGGAGAACTCGGCGCTCGGGGAGCCCCAGGGGAGCGGCGCCGCGAGCTGTCAGCTGCCCTACAGGGCCACGCCGCCTCTCTACCGACCCGCGGCCCCTTACCCCTACGACTGCTCCAAGTACTGACCCGCACGGGCCTGGCTGGGACACGGCCGGCTGCCAGGACGCAAAACGAAGCCAGTGCGCCCACCGTTGCCCCACCCCACCCAAACCGGGGCAGCAGAGCGAGCGAGCGAGCGAGCGCGCCAGCCCTCGGCCCACCCGGAGCGAGCAGGTAACCGTGCGGCCCGGGAAGCCCCCAGCCCGGGCGCGTCGCCTCCCGCCGGACTGCACCCCAGGGCCCCGGGTCACGGTCCCCCTCGGTGCCTGGGGGGCCGCGGGTGTGCGGGCTTCCCGGGAGGTAACGTGCGTGCCATTTAAAGCGCCAGCGTGCGGGCTTGTCATCAGGCTGCTTGATGTTGTCGTTCAGAGCCATTAATATAATATTTAAAGTTAAGTTCACTGGATAGTCCGTCTTCTCGTCCGACCATTGCTGACAAATCGAATTCTGAGAAGCGCGTGTGGGCTCCGCGCCCGCCACCGCCCTGTACAATCGCGCGGCTGAGGTCTTTGACGGTGCAAGAAAATAATTTATTATTATTATCTTTCTGACGTTGATAGTGTTGGAGAAAGCAGAGTGCCTGGTACAGTTAATTTGCAAAGTCCGATGGTTTTGTACAGTAGAGTCCACCCTGGGTCTGTGTGGGCCCAGTCCTTGTATTTACCTTACAATAAACCCTGGTTGTCCTGCACCGCGCCGAGCAGTGTCTGTGTCCTCGCGTGCTTTTAAAAGTGGGGTGCTTGCAGCCCCACCTGCCTTAGAGTCGTCGGTTCCACAGGTGGGTGTGGGAATAGACCCTGCAGGTGGTCCGGCCCCGGACTGCCCCCTGGTTTTGCTGAGGAAAGGCCTTTGACTAATGACGCTGCAAATCCCCGCTCTGGTATTTGTTTTCTCGCCTCCTGGCTGTGGGAGAGACTGGCCCGGCTGGTCAGCGCTGCCTGAGGGGGAGCCGACCCTGCACTATCGCATTTTGTAAAATGCAAAAAAAAAAAAAAAAAACAAAACAAAAAAAAACCCAGCACAATGATTGTCCAAACAAACAGTGCCGCCTGGCTCAATAACCAGCTGTCCACAATCTAGGGGACTGGGGCCGGGGACAAATCCTTCCCACTGGCCCAGTACGGAGACTGCAGGGTGCTGGTGGGTCCTGCTTGGCCAGCGCTTTGCAGAGAGGAATCCGATCGGACGGCGAGGGGCGCAGGGCGTCCGGGCTCCGTAACCTGTCTTGGTTCCTGGCAACTTCACTCCTCCTTTGATTTCATAATTTTTTCCCTCATGGCAAAGAAAAAAAAGTTACTTTCTTGATCCTTCACAGCCCGTGGGAGACGGAGCCCAGCTTTGGTCGCGACTGGCAGGGACCGGCAGTTCTCCCCCGGTTGAAATCTCCTGTTCTCATTTTTGGTAGCGCGTTTGGCCGGTTTGGCCGCCTGCTGTGAGAAGCTTAGCCACCTTCTGGCCACGACCTGTGGAATTTGGGGACTAAAGCTCCACAATTGTCACCCCAGCAGGTGAGCTGAAGGTGCCCCCCCCCCCATGTGAACTGGACGTGCTGGGATTTCCGCCTTCTGCAGCTGTGTGGCTTCTAAATGCCATCTCCCCTGTGTGGGCGGTGGAATGGCCTTAGGAGGTGCGGGGGACACAGCCGAGCCCCCGCCCCGCAGCACGCGTCCTCGCCCCTGGCCGCAGCTCCGGCTCAACTCTTTTTCGTAAGGTGCGGGAGCCCGAGGCTCTCCGCAGGCCCGGGGCGCGCCGGCGCTGCCCAGCGAGGGCCGGGAGCTGAGCTGCCCGCCTCCTGCCCGCCTCTGCCTGGCTGCCTTCTCTCCTGCGGTCTCCAGGCCACTCTCCCCGGGGAGGGGGTGATTTGCAGACCCCAAACCAACCGGCGGCAGCCTCCCCCGAGTTTCCCAGAGGCCGCAGTCTGGAACCCTGGTGCCTGGGTCAGGACGTGGCGGGGTGACAGGGGTGGAATAGGGGGCGGGAGCCCGCAGGCCGCCCCGAAACCGCAGAGGCCTGGCGGTGGCTGCGCCTTTGGGAGGCGCCTCGGCCGTTCGCTGTCGTCCTGTACCCCGAGGAAAAGTCCCGCTGTGGATTGCATCTGCGGCTTCATCCAGGTCCCCAGACGGAGTCGGAGCTTCCAAGTTCTGGTCCGACGGAGGCGGCGGCGCCCTGCGAGGTGAGCATTGGCGCTGCGGGCCCTGGAGCTGGTGGCCTGCGGCAGGCGCGAGCTGGGGAACCGGCAGAGGCAAGCCAGAGGCCCGGAGCCACGCGCAGCCCGAGCGCCCCGCTCGCCGCACCCCGCACGGAGCAGATTCGCAGTCCGAGGCCCGCGGCCTTTTGGGAAAAGGGCAGGGGGAAGAGGTGGGAGACCCAGGGGCCACGGTGCGCAGGCTGCTAGGAGAAGGTTTGTGCCGGGGGAACGGGTGTCCCGGGTGGCAGCCGGATCCACAGTTTGTACTACGCGGTATGGGATTCCCCAGTTCCCCCAGAACTGACTAAGCAGACACAACTGGGTTGCTTTTACAAATGAAATGAAAGCGATCCTGGCGGCGGGCGGCCTCGGGTGGAGGAGCCTCGCTCCCACTGGCTTCGTTCTGGGGACCAGGGCCCTGGGCTATGGCATCCCTCGTGTCCCCAACCGCAGAGGGGCCTAGGCCCCTTGGAGCCCTGCCGGGGTCCACGGCCACCTGCCCTTCCGGACCGGCTCTGGTGGCCTGGGCCACAGCTCCATACCTGGTGGTGGCCAGCTTTAACTGGGACAAGCACACCCCATCACGCCTCGCTGGGCTGCCAACAGAGCCCTTTCCTGGCACTGGTGTCACTTCATCGGCCCCACCGGGTGGCCAGGGCATCCCCACAGGCCCGACTCCCTGCTGCCAGGCCCCGGCTGGCCTGAGAGGAGCCAGAAGCCAGGGAGAAGAGGTCCTGGGAACTCGGGGACTTGACTCATAAATCCTTCTGGGCTCTTCACCTCCCCCACCCCAGGATGAGTGGGGCTGGGGTCACTGCCTGGTGAGGTCACTTCAAGCCCAGAGGGCAGTTTCCAGCCCCCTGCCCAAAGGAACCCCCTTGACTGACTTGCCTCTTGGCTCAGCCCACTCACCCCCCCAAGAAGGGGGCGAGGGTGTGGTGATCCCTGGGAATGCCGGGCTCCTGCCCGCCCGGGGTGCACAGGGGTGAGTGAGCAGGCCCTGGGGAGCCTGTCCTAGGCCGCACGGCCCTGCTACTGTCCCTGCCTGCCTCGGGGAGGGCAGGGCTGGGGCTCTGGGCCATGTCTCTCCCAGGTGAGTGGGCTGGCTGGGTCGGAACCACGGAACCACGCCAGGGCCAGCCCTTCCCTCCCCGGGCACCTACTCCCCACACCCCTGGAGATGTTTCCCCAGGCCTGGCTGAACCACCCTGCCGGCGTCTAGCACGCTGTGCTCCACCCGGGAGGGAGTGGAGGGGTCGTGTGTAGCAGCCTTCATGGCTCCGCTGCGTGGGAGAACAGAAACCCGTGCGTGGAGCTGGGGCTTGAACGTGTGTCTTCAGGGGTGGCGGTTGGGTTCCCTGGGGAGTTCACGCTGAGGCTGTGAGCAGAGGTGGCTGGCTTGCTGGGGGTACCTCATCCCTCCGGGAAGTGAAGGCTGTCAGTGATCTGGGGTTGCAGGGTTCTGGTGCCTGGGGACCTTGGGCCACCCCAGTGGCCCCTCTGAGCCCACAACAGCCCCCGGCCTCGCCTCGCCTCGGCTCCCAGCCTGCACTGGTCTCTGCAGGTGGCATCCCTAGCCAAGGCCATGGGCACTGCCTCGGGCCTTGCCCACAGGCCCACAAAGGGTTTCTGGGAGCTCCCAGCCATGGCCACGGTGGCCACGGTGCTCCCTGCTCCCACAGGGCTGGCCTGGAGAGAGAGGCTTTGTCTGCATTCGGGCAGGGCATGCACCCCAGCTTTCCACTTGGCCAGGACAAGGTGCCCCATCAAGGTGCTGGCCCTGCAGTGAGCTGGGCTGCCCGCGTGGGCACTACTGGGCATGCAGGAGGGCAGGGAGGGGAGGAGCTCACGTGGGATGTAAGTGACTCCATTTCCAGAATCGTCACCTCTGTTCTGGAAGGCTCCATCTCTAGTGAACAGCTGCGTGGGTTCTCATTCCTGTGCCCGCACTTGCCGCTTCTGCCTCCACTCTCAGCCCTGAGGAAATGGGGGAGGGGTGGACCTGGGCAGGGGCTTCAGGCTGCAGGAAGGTGAGTGCCCGGCTCCCCCAGGAGACCCGGGTAACCCTCAGGGTTCGGGTCTTGGGGATGGGGGTGAGAGGTTTCCGTTTCTTAGGGTGGAGTGTAGCTTAGGCCCGGCCCCCAGCACGCTGCCTGTGTCTGTGTGAGCTGCAGAAGCCCCTTGGTGGCCCCTGGGCTTTGACGTTGTCAGATGACCTGACCAAGCTTGGCGTCTCTCCATGCCTACTCTGCTCCAGCGTGGGGCGCTGGTGGGGACACCTCTCTCTCGCGTGTGCGGAGCGCAGATGCGGGGTCTTGTGGGTGTAGGAGAGGCAGGAGGAGCCCCATCCCACTGTGGTCTTTTCAGGGGTCCCCAGGGGCAACGGCCTCAATGTTTCTCCGTCTACTAGGGTCGGGTGTGCCCTGTGACCCCCGCTTGGGAAGCCCAGGGCTCGGGAGCCTGCGCAGGGGTCCAGCAGTGAGGATGCGCTGGAGGCTGCGGGGAGACTCCCACCTGGCCTCGGCCCGCTGGACTTCCGCACGGGGGCGCATCCTTCCTCCCGGGAGAGCGGAGACTCGGCCCCAGCTCGGGCTCCTTCCCTCAGCGGCCGCCCTGGGCCCGCCTGTGCCTGAGAGCCCAGGATGTGGCCGAGCCGGGCCAGGGTGGGACGTGACCGGGACCTCCCGGAGCCTGCGAACTTCCGCCCGCACGCACGAGCGCGCCTCCAAACCATGGCCAAAACCAGGGTTTTCTCCTTCTTTCCTTCACCTCCTGCGCCCCGCCCCGCGCCGTGGCTCCGCCCGCGCCCAGCCCTGCCCAGGGTGGGCGGTGTTGCCGGCCGTGCGTACTCCGGATTTGCCAGAGAGCTTAGGAGGCCAACGAGACTGGCTGGGGAGGCAGGGCTGTGCATGCGGGACTTGAGTGTCCGGGAGCTCCAGAAAGGGGTGCGGAGAGGAGAGCGGGTTCTCCAGGGCGCCCGCGCGTCTCGGGGTGCTGGGCCGTCATTGCGCGCAGAGGCTGGAAGCAGGAGTTTGGCCGGGGCTTGGGGAGGGGGTGGAAAGCGGGTGATCCCTGCAACTGTGAGGAGCGGCGCTTGGGGTCCTCTCTTCCTCCCAGGGTTGAAAGTGGAGCCTGGGATATTGAGGGGACAGTGCGCGGCCCCCCTCCCTCGGGTAGGGGCCACCCCCAGGCTCGGGGCCGGTTGGGGAGAAAGGCCAGTGCCGCCTTCCCTGGGAAGCCTGGAGGTGTGCGGGGTAGGGGCAGGCCTGGCGCTCCCGCAAGCCTTGCGGGCACCCGCGGCTCGGTCCACCCAGACTGCGCTTTCCTCTTTGTCGTGCCGCCAACCCGGCCCCCTGCGCTCTTATGATCCTAGGGCTGGGGTCGGCTGGGCTGTCCGCCAGAGGCCCGTTTCGACTTGGTTCCGGAACTGGTCCAGCTTGGGGTCGCTCTTTGGCCTCAGTGGCCGCAGTGGCAGCCGCGACCCCGCCCTCGTGCGCCATTTGGTCGCCCACCTGCGGCTCTCAGCCCCTCCCTCTTTTGGGCGTCATCCCAGAATCCACTCAGTGAAAAACGCGAATTCGGTTATTCCCAATGTCTTTGTCTTTTTCTTTACAAAATGCGGAGGCCGGAAGAGCGCTCACTGCCCCGCGCCGGGAGGGGAGTGCGTGCTTCGTGCAGGAGCTTGGGTTCAGGCGGTGACACGGCCCAGGCCAGCCAGGCGTGGGGGGTGCTTATACCCGGGGGGGGGGTTAGTGGGGCGACCCGGCGGGCTTCCCGAAGCTAATGTAATCACGGGCCAGCTGCGCGCACTTGTGAAGTTGTTGTAACCCCTCCTGTTATAAACAGGAAAGCGGGGAGCGCAGCGCGCCCGGCCGCGCGCAAACACCGGCTCTGCGCCCAGCGGCTCTGCGCCCAGCGGCCCCTGTATGTCGCCGTCCCCTGCCCCTAAGCCCGAAGTTGTGCCCAGCCTTCCTCCCTCCCCCAGGCAGCGGAGGTGGAGTGGGAAGGAATGGGGCTATGTTTAGACCAGTTCCCACAAGCCCGGAGCTCGAGCCTTGAGCTCCCTCTGCCTGGGGGGGACCCTAACATTGGGATCCCTTGTGGAGGGCCAGCACACTGCAGGGTGGCCTCGGTTGGGTACGCCCCTTCTCTCTCCAAGAGTTCTTGAAGCACTTGGGGAAGCACTTGGAGGACACCTGGGAACAGAAAAGGCTTTTGTGGAAGACCCCTGAAGTGGGGAGGCGTGGAGGGGCTCCCCTGGGCCAGCGCTCCACCCCCAGGCCCTCCTGGCTCTCCTGGCGCACGGACTGTGGGCCCGGGAGCCACATCCTGCCTTGCGGACTTGTATGCTCACAGCGTCAAGGGGTGGACGTGATATTTCAAACATCAGATCAGTGCGTTTATATATTGGGTGCCCGGAAATTTTTCCAAATAAACACAGCTTGATTCAACTTGGGTGGGCGGACTTATCAACAGACTAATTCTATAAACAAATGAAGGAATAGCCCGAACCGATTGGCTGGTATCAAAAAGACTCGTGGAGGGAAACGCTTGGCGTTTTTCAGCAATGAAATTTTAATTAATGTGGGTGGGCTGAGAACACAACGACTGTTTATCATAGACAATTTATTTTCCAGCGCTAAGTCAACATATAATAGCAAACTTACAACAATTATTTAACGTTTTTAAAGCCATGAAGGAGGGACAGAGCGCCGAGCGGCAGCGGAGAGCAGCCGAGCCCAAGGCAGGCGCGCAGAGGGCTCCCCGGGGCGCACTCGCCAAGCCGCGCTGTGCCCACTCTCGCCAGACATGAGCCACCTCTTCGGTCCCCGGCTGCCGGCGCTGGCAGCCTCGCCCATGCTCTATCTTTACGGCCCCGAGAGACCCGCGCTGCCGCTGGCCTTCGCCCCCGCGGCCGCCCTGGCTGCCTCGGGCCGCACCGAGCCCCCGCAGAAGCCGCCCTACAGCTACATCGCGCTCATTGCCATGGCCATTCAGGACGCGCCCCAGCAGAGGGTCACGCTGAACGGCATCTACCAGTTCATCATGGAGCGCTTCCCCTTCTACCACGACAACCGGCAGGGCTGGCAGAACAGCATCCGCCACAACCTCTCGCTCAACGACTGCTTCGTCAAGGTGCCCCGCGAGAAAGGGCGCCCGGGCAAGGGCAGTTACTGGACGCTGGACCCTCGCTGCCTGGACATGTTCGAGAACGGCAACTACCGGCGCCGAAAGAGGAAGCCCAAGCCGGGCCCCAGCGCCCCGGAGGCCAAGCGGGCGCGCAGCGAGGCACCGGAGCAGGGGGTGGAGGCGCGCCCGGAGGTGGGCAGCCGGGCTGGGCTCTCGCGCGCCGCGAGCCCTCGCCTCGGGAGAGCGCCCCTGCGCCCTGCGCCCCTTGCGGAAGGCCCTTCTCCGGACGCCGGCGACGCTGTCCGGGGCGCTGCGGCGGGGGCCATCGGCCAGCCCGCGCGCTCGGTGGACGGCCCTGGGTCCCCCGTGCGCCCTGCCTCGCAAGGCTCTCCGAAGAGCTCCGGCAGGTCCAAGAGCTTCAGCATAGACAGCATCCTGGCAGCGAGGCAGGACCAGAGGCCGGCGGCGGGGGGAGGGGGCGGCGAGGTCCCCGGGGGCTCCAAGCTGGGCCCGAGCAGCAGCCCGGGGGCCCCGCTGCTGGCCACTTCCTGCAGCCTCCGACCGCCCTTCAACGCTTCCCTGATGCTCGACCCGCACGTCCAGGGCGGCTTTTACCAGCTTGGGATCCCCTTTCTTTCCTATTTCCCTCTGCAACTCCCGGACGGGCTGCTGCGTTTCCAGTAAGGCGCGTCGCGGAGCACCTCGGGCGCCGGCGGGCAAGAGTCGCATCCTTTGTGGAGTGGCACGGTGTTTTCGCGGCCTCACCATCCACGCAGCCACTGGGGGCAGCTTCGGAGACTTCAGAGGCCTGGACCCCAGGCCGCCTGTGCCCCCCACCCCCAGAATTCCTGGACTTTAGCTCGGTCTAGGGGCGTCATCTTCTCCATCCGCCTTGGGACCCCGCACCCCAGGCGCAGGAGGGTCCTGCAGGCGCCCGGAAGGCTGGACTCGCTGACCCAATGTGGTGAATTTCACCGGGGGCCACAGCCTGCCGTCGCCAGCTCAGTTGTCGCTGTGTGGCCCAGGCCTTGGCACGGAGCCCGTCCTGGGAGGGGTGGGGGCTCACAGCTGGGCTTGTCCCTGAAGTCCAGTTTTAGAGGAGGGTGGGAGCCACCCAATGACCCCCGGTTTCCACTTCCTGGGGGGGGGGCAACCCTCCGTTTTAGATTTACCACCAAGATGAAGATGGACCACTGAGAGAAGTAACAGTTTTATTCTAAGTAGAGGCTCTTTCTCTCCCTTTCCTGCTAGTTAAACAACAGCGTGTTCTTTGAAGAGTTGACTGCGGGTTTTGCTTGGCAGGCTGGGTCAGCCCGCCCTGCACCAGCACCCCCAGCTCTGCTGCTGGGTTGGGGGCCATGGGAGGCGGGGGTGGGGTAACCTGACGACGCTCGACTTTTCGTTTTCACGATGCTGGTTTGTTGATGCTTTTTCCATAGCCATGTAAGGGAGGGTTCATTTACTCTCAAGCTGGGGGAACCACACAAACAAAACAGGCAGATGTTGGGGAAGACACAGGAGGCCCCTGGCACCCCCGGCCCCAGGTGCCAGGCCTGGTGGATGAAGCCCACACCTTCTGCGGGGAGGGGGCCAGGAGCAGGGTCTATGGCTGGCAGCGCCCCTCTCCTCCCTCCGGGCTCTCGGGAAGCCCATGTACCCTTGGAGGGCTCCCGCTGGGCCCTCCGCCTCAGCCTCCAGGTCAGTTGTGCTTTTTTTTTTTCTGCTGTGCAAAGAACTTTAAAGTCAGGGTTCCTTGGACATAGGCCCCAGGAGTTTCAACCATGTCTGAGAGACTTTCCAGGGTGTGCTGCTGCCAGGCGGCCAAGGCAGCTGGCTGAGCAGCCCAGGACCCCGCTGTAAGGCTGGGGCGCTGACCAGCCTGCTGGGAGGTCCAGGCCAGGGGGACGCGCTCACGAGGTGGTCGCGGGATGCCAGATTCTTGGCCTCCACTAATAAAGCAGAGTTTGTATTTTCCTGAGACTGGTTCAGTGTGTTACGGGGGCTGGGGGAGGTGAACAAACACAGGGAAGAGGAGCCTGGGGCACTGGGGATCCTACCGCTGGCAGGTTTGGGGACCCGGGAGGATGGCTTGCGACCGGCTCAAGGCTGAAGGTGCGGTGGGGCAGGAGACGGCACCTGGGACACAGCAGGGATGCCAGGCTGCAGCTGTGTGTGTTCACGCATGTGCCTGGTGCTGCGTGTGAGTTTTATTCATGTGCAATGTCTGGTTGACACAGAAGCGGCAGGAAGAGCATTTCCTGCGTCCTACCTGGAGTTAGGAAAGCCGAGACGGGGGCGCTGCGTGTGCCGTCCCCTGGGTCGGTACATCTGGCTTCCTACGCTGGGCGAAGAGGTTTGGGGACTTGGTGGCCAGAGCAGCTGTGGTGACGTCCCAGATCTCAGAGACATCGTCTCTGCTGTGAATCCAAGCAGAATGTCCGCTGTTTCTAGAAGCAAGCTTCCTGTCGCTCGTGGGCTGGCAGCCGTCTCGCTCGCCCACAGCAGCTCCCGTTCCCTGCGAGTGATCTTTGCTTCAAGCCCACCTCCCTCACGCACGAGCTCATGAGCAGGTGGGAGACATGGCAGGCACACCGCAACAAGCAAGCGTTTGCGTGTGAACGTGTGTGTGCTCAAGGAGCCTCTTAAAAGGTCGTGGAAAATAGAAATGAAAGGTTGCTTTCTTTTTAGTGTGAACATTTTGAGACGCACAAGTGCTCAGAAAATGAACATTTTTGCGTGTGAATGGGGCTAAGACTGAGCCCTGAAGCCAATCACATTCGTGCAAATGCTAATATTTGGACAAGTTTGTTTTTCTATATAGTGCTGTAGTTTTGTTTTTCTACCTAGTTTGAACCAGGACTTATTTATGCTTGCTTTGTTATAGCAAAACTAACACAGACTTTGCAAAGGAAACTTGGAAGAGGCATTGAGGTGAATGACTTGACGTGCACAAGTTTTACAAGGACAGGGGACGTTGCACAACACAGCCCTTCTGGCTGGCTGGCCCTGGGCGCTGCTGGCCAGGGAGGGCCTGCCAGCCACCCGGGGCACCAGCGACTCATGAGGAACAAGGACCTAGACAGGACTGGCCGAGCCCATTCCAGGCCGGATGGTGCCCTCTGAGAGGGACCAGGTGGCACCCTCTCCGTCTCCTGCGGGGTGGCCTGCCCGTGTACAGGCCGGCGGAGGACAACATCATGAGAGTGGGTGACACCCCTGGAGCCCCCCACTTCCTGTAACTTTGGTTCCATGAAATAAAAGTTGCTTTGTTTTTTTTTTTTAAGATTTATTTTTTTATTATTATTTTTTTATTGGAAAGGCGGATATACAGAGAGGAGAGACAGAGAGGAAGATCTTCTGTCCGATGATTCACTCCCCAAGTGAGCGCAACGGCCGATGCTATGCTGATCCGAAGCCAGGAGCCTCTTCTGGGTCTCCCACGCGGGTGCAGGGTCCCAAAGCTTTGGGCCGTCCTCGACTGCTTTCCAGGGCCACAGGCAGGGAGCTGGAAGGGAAGCGGGGTCGCTGGGATAGAACCGGACCCATATGGGATCCCGGGCGTGCAAGGTGAGGACTTTAACCACTTGCACCACCGTGCCGGGCCTTAAAAGTTGCTTTGTAAACTAATGGTTCCTGCTTCTCTGGCCTTGCCACTGCCTGGCAGAGCCTGATGGCCTGCAGGTAGGCGACAGCGTTACCTGTCAGGATCCCAGGTAATGCAGCCCCCCAAGCCAACCTGGAGCAGGGCTGGGGACAGAGAAGCGGGGGACGGGCCAACAACATGGCCAGCAAGCAGGGCGCTGCTCCAGGGGCCCAGACACTGCCAGGGGCACCAAGGGCAACAGAGGCCTGAGGCTGAGCTCCAAGGGGAGGCGGCTCTGGGTCTTGGTCTGTGCCCTGGCGGCAGGTGGAGTCGCTGGCACAGGCAGCAGTGACTGGAGTGTAGCCACCCTGCCTGGGCTGACCGCTGCCCTGCCCCTCCAGTTCCTGTGGACGCATGTTCCCAAGCCCCAGTTCAGGGGAAGGTGTGTGCACCAAGTCCTCTCGGGAGCGTAGGGGAGGACGCTGGAGTTGGCGGGTTGTGCTCCCGTGCTGGGGGTCCTCATGCTGCTGTGGGCGGCGTGGGCGCTCACCTGCCATCCACTCCCTGCCCCCACTTGCCCAAATCTGTGCGGACAGACCTACGGATGGCGAGTGTCCGGTCCTCCGCTGCTCCCTGTTCCCTCCCACCTGGAGCTTGATGTTCAGGTGAGTGTGACCCTGTGGGCCTGCTGGACGGTGGCCAACAGCCCAGCTCCGCTCCTGTTTGTGCTTTGCCCTGGGAAACCCATGTCCCTTCACTTCTGCCACCGCGCCAGTGGGAGAACAGTGCTGCAGCCACGCAGAGCTGTCTGGGGGCAGCTGAATCTACACACTGATACCGCAAGGCCTGCCTGGGCCATCTGGGAGACGGCCATGGCCGCCAGCCCTCACCCCGCGCTTACTGTGTCATGGCCAGGGTTGAACCGGCTGATATGTAAACCATCTGGCCGACAGGAAGCGCTCCGGAAACAGTAGGTCCGACCACTGCCGCCATGGCCAACCCAGCCCCTGTCCTCTCTGGGGCTGGGCCCATGTCAGTGTCACCAACCACAGCTCTGCCCAGCCAGCCGAGGTCTCTGGGGGCTGGCTCCCCCAGCTGTCCCAGCTGACCAGGCTGGGGTCCATTTTTCCTTTTTCTTATAGTGCCTCATTTCTTGAGATGATCCAACCATTTGAACATGAAACTAAAAGCAAAACCAGCCTGAACCCACAGTCGGGGACAGATGAGCTGGAGCGGGAACAGTAGGAGGGCAGCAGCGGGGACAGCTTCTGGAGTTTTCCCTGGACTTGGGTCTGGTCCACGGGGTGGAGATGCGACTCCCTCCCGGGGAGGCTGGGATCAGGCCAGAGGCGCGGGCTGCCCCGAACCCGTGTGCCTATTAGCCCTCCTTACACAGTCCGAAGAAAAGTTCTCCTAAATGCCGGGGCTAAATATAGCTGGGCTTGGTCAGCGAGTGCATTTTTAGAAAGCACATTACAAATCAGGAATGTTTTGGAGAAATAAATAAACTTTCCCACATCTTTGGACGTGGAGTCGGCGCTGTTGGCTCCACTCTGAGAGCGTAGGGGTGGGCTGGGGGCTCCCTGTTGTTGGGGACATCACAGAGGTTATGTCTGCAGGAGTCAAGGTTGGGGCGAGGGCAGCTCCCTGGCTCAGGGAGGACCTGTGGGTGGGTGGATGGGGGGCCCGTGTGCTCCTGGTGTCTCCACTCTGCAGCTATGAGGAGGGCAAAGCCGCCTGCCAGGCTATGGGCTTCACCCCGCTCGGTGTCCAGCCTGGCCGGGGGGACTCGGACCTGCCCAGCTCCTGTGTCTGGTCTCACAGCCCTGACTTGGCTGGCCAGTAGGGCCTGTGCCGTGTGCTGTGGCCTGTCCCAGTGCTGTGGCCCGGTCCGTGTGCTGTGGCCTGTCCCAGTGCTGTGGCCTGTGCCGTGTGCTGTGGCCTGTGCTGTGTGCTGTGGCCCGTCCCACTGCTATGGCCCGTCCCACTGCTGTGGCCTGTCCCAGTGCTGTGGCCGTGCCGTGTGCTGTGGCCTGTCCCACTGCTATGGCCCAGTCCGCGTGCTCCACATCCTTCCTGTGCTCCTCACTTCCTCTGAGTC